GATTAGCGAGCTTTTTTCCAATTACCTTGGTAAAGCCAAAGATCAGTGCAAATCTTACACTTTAATAAATATATTTAGTTGCAAACAGCAAAACCCCGTTTTACAATATTTTAAAGAGTTTTATAGTTAATTTTTCAGTATAACATTCATTTTAATTTTTAGAATCTAAATGTATATGTATTTTGACTTTTGGAAAAAATATCCCTGATTAATGCTTGTCTGTCTACCTACCTGAAAGGAAGAAAAGCAAAATGAAAGGTAGCGGTACCGAATGGTGAAGCACTTTGGGGCTAGTCTCTTTCAAAACAAAAGGCAACTCTGCAATGTCAAACAGTTGAAGCAGAAGTTGCCCTTCGATGAACTCATTTCAGTAACCGAAATCCTGCTTAAACTGAAAAATGTATTTAGGTTGTATCATGAATGCTAGTGGAGAGCTACGGAGCCATAGCTTCCCCCTCTTGCCCCACAGGCTGAAATCTCAAATAGCTGCTGTCAAACCTGTTAATGTAGTTTTTGAAATACTTTGACTTGATATTTAATAACTGTACATCATTCATTAAAAATTTCTGGCTAAAAATCGGTAGTGCTTTCCAAAAACTATACCGCTGTATATTGAGCTTTCAGGTGGTAATATTTTTACAGTTATGGTAGGGAAAAATTATTCCAGTTTTTTCTTTCTAACTGGTCATTCAGACTAAGGATGGGTATTTCATTACAAATTATGCTTGCACACACACACACACATAAACGAAGGGAGCTGTTAGGACATCTGCAGATATAGCTGTTCTACTGAGTCACTACCAAAGCTGGTTTCATGTTTTGGGATCTACTGAGATGTGTCTGAAAAGGACCATATGAGACAGAATATTTATCATGAGTCTTACTAATAAAAATAAATAGTGTGTAAGTAGACATTTAGAGTATTTCATTTGAACTATCCCTAACTAATTTTTCTGTTTCGATTAATAGTTACAGTTTTTTGTCTTTTGTTATGTGTATCTATGAGGCGGCAGCTAAAGTCTGAGAATAAGCACTAAGGTTTAAAGTAGTCATAGTTAATGCTCATGTTGGATGAATACTGTTGTTTATTAAATGTCTTTTTCTCGAAATTCCATTAAGTGTTTAAAGTAGAATGTTACAGTACTTGGGAAATTGTTCAGTAGAATTGGTTTTCTTAAAGTATTAATTTTTTTTTTTTTTGAAAGAATGAAAATGATAAATACAAAAGTTGTTTCCTCACCTGTGTTTCAACTTTGAATTAAACTCATTTTATATTATTGATCCACTTCACTGGAACAAATACGACCTGTGTTTTAATATGAAACAAATCTCAGAGTTCTGCCTAGAGAAATTTAGAATAGAGCAAAATGAATTTTAGGATTAAAAAAGCCAGTGCTGCAAAATACTTGTTGTCTGAGTTATTCAAAACTCAAATACAGAGCAGAGAGGAAAATATACGGAGCTAAGTTTAGGTATATGGCTTTATGGTTTCACTAGCGAGGCCTAGGAAGTCTCTGATAAATTCTCTCTTCCACCATCTTAGACTCTCTTAATACTTTAATGCGTATCTCTAAAGGCAAATTGTTATAGCATGGAACATTTTCTTTGATTATCTAATTTTCTTGCAAATTCCAGAGTACAGTACCTTAATTTTGATAATGAAAGTAATTTTCTTTTGAGAACGTGGGTTACTGTAGGATTTTAAAGTCTGTCTGTGGGCGAGATTTAATGTAATCCCTTGAGTATTTAAGAAGCATTCCTGAGACCGTCGCCAAAAAGTGGCAAGATTAGCACTTGCAGTTTATTGACAGCATGCCTCATAGGAAAGACATTTATCTGTAAGGCTATTGTTTTCTAAAAAGGAATGAAGTCTGTCTTAAGCCCCGGGAACATACATGCTTTGAAAGAGGGAAAGAACGGAACAGGTTGTTCTCATGCAGCTCGTGGCACAGGGACATAGCAGCTTACAGAGGTAAGAATGAAATGTTGACAAAACTACACCGTAAGTAATTTCCTACCAGATAAAAATATAAGTGCTTGAGGATTAAGAAAGTCTTAACAGTCCTTGTCATAAATGGAATTCGGGCATGCTCAAAAGTCAGTCATTATTCAGCAATAAAATTGTATCCTTATATATACGCCCGTACCCAAATGTATGTTGGGTAATGACAGAGGTTACCAGAGGGTTTGTTGTTCGCTGGGTTTAACAAACTGAGAAGGAACTAAATCATATCTTGTGTTCCGAGATTTTAGCCTGTGAGACTGCTCAATCTCTTTGCCTCCTGTAATATTTTTGGGAGAACTCTGTGACTGACTGCTCATAAAATCTTGTCTGCATTAGCAGATCTTTGCTAATCCCGTGCCCATCCCAACCAGCAAACACACACTCTGCAGTACTGATTCTCCTTTCACATACCCCAGTGTGGTCCTGTTCCCATCAAAGTATTTCCTTCAGATTTATATAGCACAAATAGAAGAATAATCAGATCCTTTCCTCTTATTTTATCTGTGGACTGCGCATTGAATGACTTATTTTAGAGTAGTTGTGATTCAATGGGGATGTTTTTAATTTGCTGCCTGTTCTTTTTACCTCTGAGAAAAGAATTTTGTAAATGCTGAATAATTTTAGAACATGTTTTCTTGGTTAAGGGTTGGATCATATTTTAAATTAGTTTTAAAAGGAAGGAAATCGTGTAAATGCTGTGGAATTCAGATAAGCACTGTGCATAGGAAATAAGTACTTTAATTTAGGGTGCCTAGAATCGGTAGGTCAAGCTGATGATAATAAAGGACCAGATCTTAACTTTGTTTCAAAGAACACGCAAGCGATGTTCTCTCTCCCGCTTTATTTCCTTTTTGCTTGAGACTTTATTTTGGTGGAGCTGAAACGTGCAATTGCGTACGTATTCCACAGGGTGTCATGAGGTAGTTGTTGGAATCGTTAGTACTTGGATGAAGTAAAGACAGAAACGTAGTGTGCAGTCCTCTGAATGCCCATTAATGTAATTTTAGATGTGACTAATACGCATGCCATAAAGTAAAAAGTTCTTAACTCATTAACACATGTATCTTATTTCTGTATCTGTATAAAATACACACACCAAGAAAAATATTACGCGAGGTCGTTTACAAGAGTGAGCTATTCTATGTCAGGTCTTCCCAAAAACCCTTCCTATAGTTACCTTAGTATTTTATACTTTACAGAGCAAGTGGAATCTTTGGCCCGTAGCAGGAGTCTGACGTACCAAACTACGTATATAGAAAAGAAGAAAGTTACAATACTTGTATTTGCCATACTGTTATAAAGAACTTCTAATTGGAATGTGCTCCTCCAAATTTACTTTCCAATTGTATTTTACTTTAATTTCCATTGAAGTTCTTTTAAAATTTAAATTTATTTGAACAAACTGTATACAGCGCGCACAGCTGGACTGTGGGTTTTATGATTTGTTAATTACAGATATATATGATGTCAAAACTTAACTTCAGGTTTTTTTTCCTGCACACGTATAATGGAGTAAGAGGAGAATTTTTACCAAAGTATGGCCCAAATCAAAGTGTGCAAGGTACATTTTTGCGTACGGAGACCAAATTTTTATTGACATAACTGTTGACTTCTGCGGAGCTGCACATGCATTGAATTCAGCTTCAGGTTTGTAAAAGAATCTTTAAATACAGTTTAACAGTAATTATGGAGGATCCTGCTTCTGTTAAAATCTGAATTGCTCTAAATGGAAGTGACATTGGCCATGAGAAAAATTACATTACTTTATGAAATGAAGAGCAAAACTTCATTCATTTTAGTAGCAACAGAATGTGATCCGAAGTGTAGAATCCCTGATGATGAGAATTTGAAGCTCTGTTGACAGTAATAATTTGTCTCATTTTCACAGCATATTTAAGACCAGTTTTGAACAAATGATACCTTATGGATTTAGGCATATTTCCTTGTATTACATAAAGTGGCATACTAAAATAATAAGACTAGTTAACTTTCTGGTTACTGTGTATTTGTGCTCAGTATTATGGAACAAATGCTGGTTTTATGCCAGTGGCATACCAGTGAGTGGCACTGAGAGCACAGGACGCAGGGAGGTCGATTCTTCTGGCAGGCAATCAGTAAGGTTTACAGGAATGACATACCATGCGTCCTCTCTGCGTTAGGCCCAGGAGGTCGCGGTGCCTTACAGCCACAGGAGGAGACCGCTGTGACAATCGGAAGCTGGGTGCTTTTATTCAGGTTTGCTTCCAAAATCCACGTGGTCCTGTGGCCAGTTGTTTGCGCAAAACCTTTCTGACTTAACCGCTATAAATCATGGCCTGTTTAACAAACCAGTGTGTTTATAGGTGCCTTAGCAGTATGTTTAAATGCTTGCTAGAGGAAGAAATAGACCTGTTTAAAGCAGCGTTCATGTCCAAAATAGCGTGACATACCCTAAATCTTCATGGAGATGAAGAAAGTGCACGGAAATGGTGGCCTTTGGGCTTTCGGGTTGTTTGGGTTTTTTTGTTTCTGGGTCTGGCTTTTTGAAATATAACCATCCTGATCTCTGTCCAGGTGAGTTTCCTTTACAGCAGGGCATCGTGGCAGGAGAGGTTTTTAGACAGGTAGGTTCTCATCTTTCTTATTCCTCGCTCGCTGAACTCGCTTTGCCTCTCCCTTTCTTTGTCCTTCTTATTGCAACTAGGATAATGTAAAGGGGTGATTCCGCGCATACTTTGAATTACTGAGATAATGCAGTACCTTAAACTGAAGTGATTAATATCAGAAAATATTTAAATAATAAAATACTTGACTGCGCTGAGATTTTCCCTATAACAAAATGGAAAGGACAGAAGTTAAACACTGTTGGTATTATACCGTGTAAAAACTTGGCAGTATACTGAGGCATGTGTATCATATGTGCGATATGTATACATTCAACTGATCCTAGCACCCAAGTCCCTGTTTGAGTGTTAAGACAAGGTTGACGAATATTATGATCTCTTTTTATTTTCAGATTGAAAATCTACAGGAACAACTTAGGGACAAGGACAAACAACTAACTAATCTAAAAGACAGAGTGAAGTCATTGCAGACGGATTCTAGTAACACAGACACAGCGCTAGCAACCTTAGAAGAAGCTCTATCAGAAAAGGTAATGTCTTCTCGTGGAACAGCACTATGTGCTGCTCCTGTGGGTGAAGCGTGTCCCAAAAGTGTCTTTTTAAGTTGGGCTGGCGCCTGTAACAAAGCCCGTGGGCCTTGTCAGGAAAGCAGGTGGCTCTGTTGTGGCAGGAGGAGCGAGGTGTGATTCCCAGCGGATGGCCTGAAACAGGACTCCGAGGTGAAGGAGGATGTCCTTTTAGATGGGGGTGGAGTAACTGGCCCAGTACATGGCAAGATTTTCCCTTAGTCAGTGGGATGAGTGGTTGTTCCCTGAAGGAACTGAAAGTCCTGGACACCTGACTTAAAGAAGGTAGAGTTTGGGGTATTTTTATGGCTTTGTGATCTTGATTATCCTGTTCTTTTATCTGTTAAGCAGAGCCTAACTGACGAGCCAACAGCAAGTGACTGTACCAACTGTTACCTTGGCTTGCTCTTAGCACTATTGGTTTCCTACGCTTAATTTATAAGAGAAACTGTATCTCATAAAAAAAATGGAGAATTGCTTTTTTTTTTCCTTTAAAAACTATATGCCTTTAATTTGAAAATACCTAGCAGAAGGGATAAATCTGGACTGTTTAAATTAGCGGCAACATTCCTACCAGTTTCAGTGAGGTCAGGGTTTTTCTTCCAGTTAACTTTGAATACGAGATAATCCAAGTGAATTTATACGCCAAAAAAAGGTTGGACCAGCTGATCCTCGAGGTCCCTTCCGACCTGGTATTCTGTGATTCCATGAAAAAAAATCAGTACAAGTCTCCACTTCTCACAGCTCACAGATCTTAAAGTGTATAATTTAAACGTGCACAGCTGAGTGCAACTACTTACACTCCTATGTGCCATTCTGCGGCGTGTAATCCAAGGAAGGTATTTGTGATTGTATAGGACTTGAAAATGCCACTGAGGTGTTGGCACTGACACCTAAAGCGCTAATGTTGGGGTTTTGATTTCTGTGTGTGTTTAATCACCTTACTAACATTTGCTTGGTCAACAACAGTGAAAAAAGTTGTCATTACTATTGCTCCTGTGGCTTCATATGGATAAGCTTACAGCGTTTATGCAGTACACGCATAGAAAGTACACACATTTTGTACACAAGTACACACAAGAAAGTACACGCATTTTGTTAATCTTTCAGCGCTGATCTGGACACAGTGCTCACCGACCTCACAGTTTATTATTAAAAAATGACACGAAGTACTTTTTAATCTGTTTTTCCTCCTTGTAAACTGTCTTTTCTGGGTTAGTCTACGTTGCCACTTTCCCAGAACGCCCACAGAGGCAGCCGAGAGTTTAGGGCAGTCCTGGAACCACGCGCTGCGGCTGTCAGTGTGGGAAGCAGCGCGAGTGCCCCGCTGCAAGCCTGCCAGTTCTCCTGTGCGGCTGCGCCCGACGCGCGCTGTCAGAAGCCAAAGGAATCCCGTGTCCCTTTTGCTGCCTCAGCGGTATTCGCAGCACTTCAGAGAAGGTGCGCTTACGCACTACTCCTTAGCTGGGCTCATTTTCTAACTTGCAGTATGTCTTCAATTGTGATGTATTTCTCTGTTGAAAATATTAATGACAGTTTACCAGGGTTCATAGGAGCAGCAGCAAGTGTGGAGGCATTGAATGGAACACATGGAGTCGTCTTCTCGCTACCAGAAATAGAAAAGGTTACGAAGTAACTGGGTTAAAACCTAATGAGTGGCAATTAATGAGTGGCAATTAGTTGTTTTCAAGTCATTTTGTACCCGTTCCATTCTAAAATCTGTTGAAATAAATGTAAACTAATAAATAAATGTAACAGTTTTTATAATTTTGAAGAAGTTTTGTATGTATACGAAATTAAAATATGCTATTAATCTCAGGCATACAAATTGTAAAATTTTACTGAACTCAGGATGCATTATTTTTGAGTATCGTAGCGAGGATTTGTCCCAGAGTTCGTTGAAAAATTGTGCCGTAGAATTTCTTCGTGTATGTGATAACTTGAAATTTGGCAACACTGGAGACCCTGAGGGTGTGGAAATTTTGTGTCAAGCTTGATTTGATTGCTGTAATACAGGTTCAAAGTCCAATAAATGATGCTAGGTTTAATGTTTTGGAAGAGTTAGATAAACCGATCCTTCTCTGAAATGTATTTTTGCAGTTCACGTCTCCTTCGTTTGGAACTGCATGTATACGAACAGACGTTTTTAAAAGAATCAGTGTGATTAGCGTTTTTTCCAAGTGGGATTGATTAGAACTCAGACGGGTCCCTAAGGCTGCGTTCAGTACACAGCAGCCACTTTGCTTACATACAGCCGGCTGAGAATGGCACCGCTCCTGCAGCGCTCGCGGGCTGCTCCGAGACAGATCCAGGGAGTGCCACGGGGCGTCTTCTCTGCCAGAGCGCTCCGTCCCTCGGCAGCGGCTGAAGGCAGCGGTCTCTCGGCAGGCGGTGCTTCTGGGGCCTGGCACGAAGCGGAGGCGTGCTGTGGCGCCCGGGGACCGTCTCCTCGCTTACGGGGAGATGGCCCCATAGTGAGGTGGCAGTATGGAAGGGGAAGAGCTCTTAAGTGATATGTTTATTGTTCTATATTGCTTCAGAAATACTATGTTAACCTAAGGAGAGGGTACACAGAACTATTAAATAGCCTTTTTCTACAAATGAGCTTTATAACTGAGAGTGTCAATTATTTTATGACATGCCCAAATCGTTATGCAAATTAGTGTCTGTGTTAGAATAGGAACATATGGCTTGAATTGTAACAAAAAATTATTTGTTCGAATTTGTGTTATTTTCCTATGACTATTTTTCTGTATTTTGAGACTAAATTATTAATTAAATCATTAATATTTGTCCCGTTTCTGAACAGATACATAACAGTATAGCTCCCACACAGTTACTGGATGATTTACAGTGGCTGGCAGTCTAGGTAGCAATGTTGATGATAAACTTCAAAATCTAGAAATAGAGAGTATCAGTTCCAAAAGACTTAAAGTATTGCCCTGCCCTTTAAGTTCATTGGCTAAATGTGCTTGTGAGAGAATCATGTTATAAAAATTCAACTTCGTGATGCCTCTGATGGAGATTTTTTTTTTTTTTTTTTTTTTTTTTAACGCATGATCAGCAACTGTGTGCTACTGAGAAATCTTTTACGGTTGGGGAATGATTAGTATATTAGATTAAAAAAAGGAGAAAAGCAACACTGCAGAGCAGAATTAACATGAGCTTTTGAGAAACAGGGTGCTTGGTCTTGAAGCATTAGACACAACGAGGAGGCAGTTTCCAAGGCAGAAGCATCTCTCTGTATGATTTTGAGGGTTTACTGTACAGAGCGATCATGCACAGCTTCCTTCCCACAGCAAGTTTCTTGAAGGCCATGCTTTCAAGGGCAGGTTTCTCAGTCTTACGTGTAGTCTCTGGGAGGTCCTTACACATTGAAGAAGCCAGTAGGCATCCAGAAGTTCCAAATGAACCTTTATGTCTAGCTTTCCTGTGTCTTCTGGCGGCTAAATGCCTTGATGGTTTGTTTACATGTCTTACTCCTATTTGCGTCCAGCTTTCCAGTTCATCCTAGCTGCTCTCCGTCAGTGACCTCCCTTATCCCTGTTCCTGCCTGCAGCAGCATTCTTAAGACCTACAGACTTTTTCAATAGTTACTAACTTTTTCCGCTGCGAACGCTGGTAGAAATATGGAATAGATTTTTGTCGAAATGGGACAAAACAAGAACCCTTAGTGATAGTTTCTTATTAACAAGTGCATCAATATAAATACTTTTATCAATTTCAACTTGTAGTGCTGTCAAGAAAGGATGCTGCTTTCATTCAAGCATACCTGATTTCCACGGAAATGTATGGGGTTTCTGTGGGGTTTTTTGTGTGTGTGTTTTGTTTGGTTTGTTTTGTTTTTCCTAGAAACTATATCAGGCCTAGTTTGCAGCTCTGTTGTCTGTTTTATACTCTGAGATTAGGCACAATTTTTGGCTTTACCTTAGTTCTTTGTCAGTTCGATTTTAAATAAAAAATAATGAAGGAAATACTTCAAGGGCATCACGGGAAGCCCTTTTAAAATAGAAATTAAGTTTATTTATACCAGTTTAGTTAACCACAGTTCACTAAAATTGAATGTAATTGCTTTTCTTAGTTTCTATGGGAAGGAAAAAAATATTAAAACATGATCATATGATGTGAATGAATTATGAAACTGTTTTTAAAGTCCAAAACTCAAACGTTTGAGCATTTATGTTTTTCCTGCATTGTTCTTGAAAACCCTCAGATGAGATTTTGGCTCTGAATTAGAAAATATGGCTCCTCATTCTTCACGAAAGTAGATTTTTCTAAGTATCTGTCTCTGATTTTTTTTCTTTCATATTTAGCGAGTAGGCAGCTTGGCAACACTAAATAAGAAATTACTGTAGGCATCATAAAAGAGCATCAAAATTTCCTGAAATGGACTCCTTTTAATCTTTGTATTTTCCCAGCAATATTGGTGATATAATTTGTTCTCGTCAGGCATCAGAAGTGCATCGGCACAACTTTAGTCACTTCTTGAGTGCATTTCAGAACTAAACTGAAAAAGGTATTAATTCAGTTCCTTACCCCTAAGTTTGGAGCTTCTCCTAAGCACTGAAAATTCTTAACAACCATAAAGGTTACATTGCAATAAACAAAAAATAACTTTACTCCTATTAAAAAAAAAAAAAAAAAAAGCTTGAAAACCAGAATATGCAAAACTGCTATCAGCTTCCTTGATGTTTTAACAAGAAACTTTTCAGAGAGTATCTCAGCTCTTGGGCTGGTCCAAAGCAGCTCAAGAGGTTGCTTTCATGAAGCTGATATTTATAAAGTTGGTCCTACTGTAGCAGCATACAGCAGATAAGCCATTGAGTACAGCTGATAATAGAGCTATATGCTGTGGCAATTCAGTTCCTGCTGCTGTGATAAAGTGCAAATAGATTAGACCTGTGAGGTCCCAGATTAGTGCCTAAGGAAAGCTTGCCAATGCAAATAAGCCTGAAACAAGAACACATTGTTGGCATTTCTGCAAGTTAGCTGTTAATCAAGTAAAACATGGTGTATTAGGGCCTTTTAACACATTTTTGACATTTAGCCTTATGCAGCTGACAGATAAATTAGTCGTCTTTTGTGGCTGACTGAGAAAAAATTTATACTGTTCGTTAATAAGATGAAATAGTGTTATGTTTAATTTGTTACAGAAGAAAAAAAAATCATTTAGGTAAATAAATCTTCAAGAAGGCATTGGTATAAAACTAAGCCTGAGTGGTGGATTCTGAATGGTTATTAAACTATTCCATTTAGTGGAGGCTGGCATTTTAACATTAATGTTCAAGGAATTAAGAATTTGTATTAGTTGTGACTAGGAATAAACTTGAAATTAGTTAGTATCCCGTATCTCTTTCTTGCACGATCTATATTGCAAAAGCCAGCTAATGTACTAGGTTTTTTTAAAAAAATTTACTCTTTGCTGGTTTGTCGTTAGTGTTGCTGGTGAAGGACCCTCCTTCTGTATGAACACGTTCCTACCCGAAATCCTGGCAGGTGTGGGCGGTGTGTACATCCGCAGTGCCAGGGCTCTCACTGCCTGGACACCTGATACGGCCTTGGAAACGGACTGAATTCCACATAGCCCGCTACTTCTAGTTTTGGCCCTATCTTTTGTACTGTATGCTAAGTGGAACGTAGTATGTCATCGATGTGTATTTATTTCCGAAAAAGTAGGGATGTGAATTTTCTATGAGTAGTCAGCACTGCCGTGCAGACTCTCACAGCCCTGCTAATTTGGTACGATGCCCGTTCAGTTAGCTAGCTTGTGAAAGGAGTCCCTGAGGTCAGGAGAGGGCTAGGTGTGACGTGAAAGCAGCACCATGAACTTCCAGCCCTTTGAAAAGGTTTTCCTTAGGAACCGAGTAGCAAATAATAACTATACCGATGTTCTTATTACAAGATGATTCAGTATAATGCTGATTATTTTCCAATATCCAAAAGACTCAAAATACATGTATTTACAAACTTAAATAGAACTATTTATTTGGTAAAGATCTTTATCTAATTGTTTAAAACCTTTTAATAATATTTAACATTAATTTCACTAATACATCCAGTTACATTATAAAATACTCAGTGATGCATTTTTTAACATTTTGGCTATTGGTGAAACAAATTACTACACCTGGAAGCCAATATTGTATAACTGGAAGAAAAAAAATAATTTAGCAGAGGAACAGAAGTGTTTAAAAGGGCTCTGTAAGGAATGCATTTGAAACATAGCACGCGTTTTTCACTTAGGCCTAGGTTCACACCCAACAAGAGACTAGTCATATAGCAAGCATCTGTGAAGATCGATACCCCACATCTGCTTTTGATACTTCATCTTAACAGCTCATGTTACATAATAAAATATGTTGCATCATAGCTTAAGTTTGCTATATAAACATAATGCAAAAGGAAGTTAATTTTTAAATATTTAAAATCAAAATAAAGAAATATAAAAATTAAGATTTAAATTAAAATTCTAATATGCTTAATTGCACTTACACTGGGGTCTACAATTAGCTCTCCAATAAGTAACCACAAACATTAAGAGACATTGCAAATAAATAACGAGAAGCTGAATTTTTCTACTCCTTGAACTGGCATTTAAATATTTTCAGGGAACTGCATAACCCATTAAAGTCAAATTGATTTAAGCGTAGCCAAGTTTTGAATCAGTAATTTAAAATAATGAAATATTTATTCAGTTTGTACAGAAACTGATTATCAGTTTAAACTTCATACATGCAGATAATATGGCATTTAAATGATAGGACGGTGAATAAATGGGACATCTCAGCAGATGCTTAGTGAAAGGCAGGTATATAGAAGCTGAAAATACAAGGGGACACTTATGGAAAACTTCCTGGTCTTCTGAAAACCCTGTGTGTGTTCCATTTTGTAGAAACTAGCTCCTTTGCTATGCGGTGTGAAAGGAGGAACGCGAACAAGCGGAGGCGATGGACGGTTGTCAGCAGAGTTGCTGATGTGGTCAGTGTTACAAAGGGATCAGTTGTGAAAATGGGGGGAGAGAGACTGAGCAAAAGAGAAACAACTGGTGTTTGAGGTACAGAATCTAGAAAATGTCTCTGCCTGTTCCGCAGAACCAATGAGACCGGGAAAGACCTCTGGAGATTGTCTAGTCCAACCCAGCTGCTCAAAGCAGGGTCAGCTAGAGGAGTTTGCTCAGGATCTTGTCCAGCTGCGTTCTGAATATCTCCAGGGTTGGAGACTGCTGGGATGAAAATCACAGCTTTGAGGTTAGGCTCTTTTTTAGGCGCGTAAGTGTTGACAGTTGGCTTTTTGCAGAGTATGCCTTGAGCTTTAAAAAGCACAGAAGCAATCTTCAGAAGATCCTCTAGGGCTTGGAGGAACATCATACCTAGTGTACGGAGGAAATAAATGATAACCAGGGCTGTCCAAACAATGTACACTTTTTAAAAGTGCTGTTACTACTTAAGCTAACTTTGATAATGAATTAACTTTTTTCTTTCATTATAACGACTAAGTTCATTACAAATCAGAATGGGATGTACAGCTGCTGAAACGCTGCTTGCATTGTAATGTTTGTTGAGATATAATAACCATAGCTAAGAGCATATTGATATGGGCAAAGGTAAACTTTGGTGTGTGGGGGTGTGTATATACGTGTGTATGTGCGCGTGCATGTGTGTGCGTATACAGGTTTCTCTATATCTCCAGCGTGTGTGTTTGTATATATACATGGCAGTATAAGGGATCATGGACAGAGGGAATTAGCATGAGATTTTTCTCTCTTTCTAATAATATTAGGCTTCCATCAGTCCTGTCCAGTTCTATGAAATAGTATTTTAAGCATTGATCCCACTCGTAAACTACTTCTTGGAGATTTCGGGCGTAAGTACAAAAGGACTTGAATAGGATCCGCGAGTACGCTGATGGTTCCACCTCAGCCGCGCCGCTGGTAGTGTAGAACTTCATCAGGCAGGAGGTAGTTTTGTCCCATGTAGGTTTAACTTTCCTAAATGCTGTTGCTTCCACTGGCCCGACTGCCACTTCCAAAAATGATACTAGTAGTTCCCCAATACTCTGCTTAAATTGGCCTATTCCCAATTCAAATGCAATTCTAGTGGTTGTTTTATTTTACCCTAAGTATTTCTCTCTGATTAATATTTGCATCCTTCAATTATCGGTAAATGTGGTTTTTGAAGGATGTGACCAAAGCTTAACAAAACCATACTACTGCATCTGCTGTTCACATTTCACCCTTTGAAGTCATCACCCAGTCGTTGACCGGTGATTTTCAACAATCCTTCCAATAGTAACTGGCAGTCAGCAAGACATTTAAAAACGTGGTTGAGTTTAAATGTGTGTACGGGTTACTGTTAATTAGGTGGAGAAAAATCCTCCTTTGGATATCAGAAGTTGAAGCAGGGTACTTCTTCTGTGTCTTGGACAACTTTTTTTTTTTTGTCCTCTCAAAATATAATACGTGTAAACTGTAAGTTACTGAGAGTTAGCAAGCGAGTGATTTCTAATTCGATTCAGAACCTTGAAAACTTCTTGCAACCACTGCAGAGGCTGCTAGCATTCAAAAACCAAACAAATTCCAGCTGAGTAAACCAGTCATGGCCTCTCTGTTTTGAACTTTTATTCAAGACTTCAATCACTTATGAATACAGGAAATACATTACTGAGATGAATAACTTTCCATATCTATCACAAGACTAAACATATTCATATCAGTATAGATATTTAATGAAGTTTCTGTACTATATTACTCTTACCAAGTATTTAAAAACCTTGATCTGATGCTTTTGTAATCAGGGAAAATCTTGCACTGACTTTAATATCATTAACTCAATCATCCTCTGCTTCTGAAGGCTGATTTTTCTAAGTGCTACTTAATGTAAAGAAATTTTATTCTGTCTTTTCTTAAAATGATTCGCAACTTTTCCATTTTGCAATTCTTCCCCTTGTTAGGAAAGAATTATAGAGCGCTTGAAGGAGCAAAGAGAGCGAGATGACAGAGAAAGACTTGAAGAAATTGAATCTTATAAAAAAGAAAACAAAGACCTGAAGGAGAAAGTCAATGCTTTACAAGCTGAACTGACAGAAAAAGAGGTCAGTCTTTTCAGTAAGATCTGTGTTCTTCTATCTATGTCATTATGATGAAAGAAAGTGCATTAGGATTACTCTTGTACCATTTCAAGTACTGAAATTCTGCCATTTTGGTGGTCAGCTTCTGAACTGCTACTTTCTTAAGCATTCTTTATGGTCCTGACTTTTGTACATGAGATATTGCTTCAGTTTTTGAGTAGTTGTGTGTCATTATCTCTAGTTTTTCCCTTTACATAAGCCTCCAGTAGGCTCAAATATTCCATTGTTGCTCCTGTTTTCATTTGTCAGAGCAATAGACGTCAAAGTAGTTGTACCTGCAGAATACAATGTCAACTTGTCTGTACTGTGAATGTTTCAATGGTTCACTGCACGCCAGCTCCTGTGGTTCCAACTGGTTGTATTCTCAAAACGGTGTCTTTTGCTATCAATGCTGATCTTTGTGTCAACTCCTTTTGGGGAAGGGGAGGGGGAACAGGATCCGAGTGATTACTAAGTTGGCAATAAGTTAGTGTCCTGGTGACTCGGAATTAACTTTTTACTCTTGGTCATTTTCCAGTCTAGTTTAATCGATCTCAAAGAACATGCATCTTCATTGGCATCAGCAGGGCTGAAAAGAGACTCCAAACTTAAGTCTTTAGAAATAGCCATAGAACAAAAGAAAGAAGAGTGTAGTAAGTTGGAAGCACAGTTGAAAAAGGTAAGTTCCATCTTAAAACAAACAAACAGCAGTAATCAGAATAACAAAAATCAACATTCCACACCCTCATTTTGAAAAGATGAGCTTATTTACTCTTCTGGAGTAAATTTAAAATCTACCCATCTTATGCTGTTTGCTGATGCTTGCATCAAATACTGCTAACTTTTTCTTAAGAGGCTTGTACCAAAGCCACTAGTGAGCCTCAGAAATTACCTTCAACACCTGTATGAGGGAATTCTGAGAAGCCGCTACAAATAGATGAACTGGGGGCAGGACATTGGAGGGAAAGCAGAAGGGCAAAAAGAAATGATCAAACCAGCAATTTAAGAATTTATACCGCTATGAGAAGTAGACTGAAACGTTTGTAACATGGGGAAAAAAAAATTAAAGGCTTGTCCAAGAAATGCTGTACTTCCTAATCAAAAGAATTCTGCTTCCAGAATGGAAACACTAGCTAGGTTTTATTTTGGCATTTTTTTTGGCTTTGATGGTGAACACGTTTCCGATAATTAAGCAAAATAATGCATAGTTTATCTCAGCTACCAAGTCAGTATTTCTATTCAGCAAGTAGTGGAAGCAAGCATTTAAAGGAAAACATACAAATCCCGTATTTTATAACATGGTTTTATTTAAAATGATGCATTAAAAAGTTTTTGCTTAAATGATTTGCAAGTTTGTTGATGCTTTTTCTACCATACGTTGTTTCTTTGCCCTTTTTGTGTGTCATTTGGTAATGTCTGCTCTCATTGTTTGAACGCCAGTCTCATGACGTATTTGATGGGTTTAGGCATTATGTTTGCCTTCTGCAATTCATGACTAAGTGTATGTCAAACTATTTTTTTTGTATTGATATCTAATGTTTCATTTTCTAGAAAAGAATATTAATACGTTCTATGAATTTTACCACCGTTAGGATAATATTCTGACACGCTTTTTACAGTGATTCAATAGCCTCACCTGTGAAGAAGGTATTGCAAAGTATAAAGGATACCGGAGTGTAAACCTTATACTGCTACTATTTTTTAATTCAGAACAAATATTTGCAATTAGGGGCCTGTGTTACATGTTTAGTTGTGGAGCGGAAGGAAGGGAATCTTTCTCAATAAACATATACAAAAGCTTTTACTGGAAACACAACTACTCTTGATAGCTTACAAATGCTATTGATGTTAGAATGAAAATATCCAAGAAGCTGTTTCTCTGGAAGTCCTTTATTTTGGTTGGTTTTTTTTTTTTCAGAAAATGTGCGTGTTTGCTTTGCACTGCACTACAAAATATACTTCATTACAATCTGAAGTACCTTATTTTCTTCATTTAAAAAACTAGTTAAAAAACCCCTAAAAGCACAGATCACTTAAAAAAATCAAAATCCTCTTGAAGGATCTGAAATCCTAGGTCAATCTTTTATGACTGTACATATAAACACATCATATGGTCATGGAAAAGTAAGCACTTATAAAAGTCAGGGAGTGTCTGAGACGTCTTTCATATAAAAAGGGAGTATGTTCCCTGTGTATAAATACAAAGGATTACTAAATGAAAGTTGAAAACATAATAGTTTTATTATATCATAAATACAGCATAAAGCCCCTATGGAAATTCACCCAACATTTGTAGGAGACCAGGTATTTCCACAGTAAAATGTAGTTACAACCTTCTTTGTGGGCATGTTTAGTTGAACAGAAACAGTGACTTAATGATAGTAGACTCCAAACAGTAATTTTCAATTCACGTTTTCCCTAATAAAATACTTTATGTTCAAACCTGTAAATATCCTGTGTTAAAAGTAATTGGTCCCCAGAAATCTACCTTCACCATGTTTTCACTCCCTAGGAAACTAACTGAAACAGAAATCTGGGTTATTCTTGCATGTATCCGAGTTGGAGCAGGAGGGAACATCAACATAGTTAGGATCAAATTAACCTGCATGTCCCCTAAGTGCGCTTATATACGAACATTAACCACTATGGAAGCTACAAGGAATGGGCACAGTTTTTATCTGTCTTTCAAAAGTGCCTCCAAAGGGCTGTGTGTTATTTTGAGAAATGTGAATGCAGCTTACACGTTGCTCCTCTCTAAAAATATCAGAGAAGGCACCTTTCATTATGGCTGTACAATCATCATTGTTTAATGTTGATTTGTATGTTTTAACAAATTATACTAATAAATATGAAGACAGTATTCTGTGCACATTTGCTAGCAGTTACTTTTCCCTGAGCACTAATGGTAATAAGTACTATCCCTGAAAGAAAACATGTACAAGGAGCAAGTCCAACCAAAATATGTAAACTTTTTTTAAAAAAAAAAAATTTTAAAGTTTGTCTTCCCTTGTTTCCTCTCCTTCCTGTTTTTGGAGAGAATAAGATTCATTTATTGATAATAAAGATGTTCTTGATTGGGTCTGATTAGATCCAAATATTTTTCAGTATTAGTTAACTGGATTGTTTGCACTTCATCAGCAGGAGAAAACATGCTGATTCTAAACCCACTGTTCTAATTTTATAGAGCAGCCACGTTTCAAAAAGTAATAAATAGGATATTTGTAAAGAGTAATTATTCATGTGACCGTGATATATTTTGGGACACAAAATGATGTTTAAAACTGTAGACATGCTTATTAAACTTTTTGTGACAAAGATTATGGATTGAAATTCATAAAATTAAAAGAAATCCTAAAACCCAGAAGAATGCTCAATGCTTTTTTTGCCAAAATTCCACAGACTTTTTGTTGACGTAATTTGTATTCCTACTAGTGAAAGAACAGCAGGATTTACCTAATAGGTAGCTGTTTTATATATATATATATACATGTGTGTGTGTCTATATATATATATATATAATCCTATTATCCACTCTAGAATTTCCTCCTTTTGTTGTTTTTCATTACCTTAAATTTACTTGCTTACTGACATATTTGCAGTTGCTAAAGTACTTTTTGCCAAGCTGTACTGTTCAAACGTCATTCTGCATAGAAAATTCAGTCTTGTGTTAAATGAAAGAAAAGTAATAAATTTAATGATAGAATTTAATTAATCTTTTATTATTACCATCTTTGAAGCTTTGGTGATAAATTGCAGCCTCAGCCAAAAGCACTTCTTGTGATTCATTGCTTGAGACCAGCACTTAATGTATCATCAAAAGTGGACACCTTTCTTTATTTCATGGGTTATTTAACTTGAGAAAGGGAAAGTAACACAAACCTTAAATTTTTTACTCCAGCTATTCCTTTTTAGGAGCCAAAGTCAACATTTATGTTTCCCCAGTGCCTCTCACTTTCACCAAGGAATGTTTAGAATCTTAAATTTCTACTTTCTTATGACAAGTTCTTCTGTGCAAATGCACTGGTTTTGTTGAGCTAACGCTGTTTTCCTGGATCTTTCCTTCTTTTCCTGTCTGTGCTTCACTCCCTTCCAACTTTGCAATGTAGCAAGCTGAACAGTTGTTCAATCAGATGTACAATCCAGTAAGTTCTTTTTTAAAATGCCCGCTGTAACATATGAAAGCATGAGGATCCATTACCTTACTGTGTTGTGCTCTTCCTCTGTGGAGCTTTGCAGAATACCTCTGATGCTCACTATGCTATATTCATTACATCCAAATAAATGAACTTTGTGGACTTCAAGGCCATTTAAGAATACGTACAGCATTTCTGAGAAAACAAACATCCTAGCCTTTAGGTCCTCAACTTCTCCATTAGAAAAAGCATGCAAATGTTTTTTTGGTTTTTTTTTTTGGCTTTGCTTTGCTTTTTAATTCCTCCTTCTGCAGTACTTTATTTGATCCTTCAAACTTAAATAACTTCTAATTTATTCAGTTTATCTTAAGAGACTGAGTTGATTATGTGAATAATAATATCTAAGAGGTGACCGGTACTGTTGACAAAAGTCCGTACGATTAAAATAGTTTGGATCAGTTTTACTCATAAAAGACTGTATACATTCAGCATATATATATATATATAAAGAATATGGAAACATTGTATTTAATTAAAGAAAATGCTGAAATATAAAATGATGAACGCAAAGGGCAGCGTTTGAAAGAGCCAAACAGTATTACCGGGGCTTGTTCAGCATTATTATTCTTGCCAACGTCTGTTTTAATTGGACAGTATCTACCCTTTTGACTTGACTGTGTTCCTTTTTCAATTTGAGGAAGAGCTGTAACAAACATTTTCTCTGCAGAGAACAGTTTTCATTTTTTGGCTGAGACTGTTACATTTAATGTGCTGTGAGCATCACAGGACAGAAAAAATGATGTCACTGTAATAGCAATTTATAAGCTATAGTTCACATAGTAATCATAGTTGGAATTACCACGTAATTGCGATAGTATATATAGAAGAACCGGTTTTGTAGCTGAAGTAATGTGATACTATGCATTAGGAAAGGTATTGCCTTCGCTGAAGCCAATGGGAATTTTGCCATTAATGTCAGTAGACCAGGATTCCAGCTTTGGAGTCTATTATTGCAACGTTTTGTAGCTTCTAACCATGTAATGGATACGTCATGACTTATGTATGGGAAAAGAGATTCGCACAGAATGTGCTGTATTTACTTTCAAAGTTATTGGTTAAGTGGTTTTTAGAATCCAGTCATAAACTGATTGTAAGTAGCATAAGACCTGATGATATCACCTTTACCATCCAGCACACTGCTGGTCAAAGAGCTTTTCCCTTTGAACGATAAAACCCTTTTTTCTGTATCATCTTGGATCGCCTTTGTGGTAGTTCTGTTTCTAGTCATATCATTTGCACTCCTACTGTGCATGTCTTTTCAGACTGGAGTCTTTTTTGTGTTAGTTTTTCTCTTGACTTTCATAAATGTTTTCCAGTCATTATTTCAATTCTAGTTACTCTGCTGTATGGAATTCATTTGTTACTACCTAGTCTATTTGTGTGTGGTATTCCAAAGTCAGCCAGTCCTTTTTTAATTTTATTTTTCCTGCCTTTACGTGCTTGATTTTCAAAAGGACAGCCTGTTGGCAGTTCCAAAATAATGGATGCAAGAGCCTTTTCCTTTGGCACCAGCCAGCAACTGTAGTATATCCATGAGACAGGTTTTCTTAAATAAACTTTTCTTGCTTATTTTATTTCTTCTCCTACTTTTTTATATATATATGTATCAGTCTACTTTTAACAACGTAAGTAGTAATGGTCCTCTTCTCCCCCAAAATCACCTAAGGTCTTGAAATGAAATTGTGATTTGATTGAAGTCAATGGCAACATGTTCTTTGAATTCCATAAGGCCAAGATTTCACCCTTGTTCTTTGAGATGGCATAACAGAAGTTACCTGAATCATTTTTTTTGTACTGCAAATCATTAGGATCCTTTATTTAATAGAATGTTTCCTTACTTTTTTTGTTTTGAGAATAATAGCGTTATAAAAAACAAGATGGCAATCTAATCTTAAAGTACTGAAGTTTTAATGCTCTTTTGTTTATATGTGTCAGAGAAGTAACAGTCAATCTCTGAGCAGACCTCTTTGAGCCCATGCAGTAACACAGCATTTTTTTGTGGTAGAATGTGTTTTTTCTACTATGTCACACAGGTATCAATGCCAAGACTTTCGTTTATTGCTGAATCTAATGTTTTTAAAATACAGTAATGGATAGAAGCGTTTTATTCTTATACACATTTGGGTACTGAAGTGGAGATGGTACGGAAGGGGTGCAAGTCCTACATGCTTTATAGTAAATGACTGCACAATGTATTCACCTGTGTGAGTAAGATGTGAACAGAATTGGGCGCACACTTCTTTATGTTTGTTTTGAAAGGTGAACTTTTTGAAATACCCAATGAATTCTTGTGCAAAATTATTACAAGCAGGTTTTTTTTTTGTCCTGTGATGAAAATATAATGATGTACTTAGTTTGGAGTTCTGATGAACCTTTTTCTGAATACTAAAGACTTAATTTTCCAAATGCTCCATCAGAGCAATGTCAGAGTAAAATTCAAAGTACTTGCAGAATCCACTCTAAATTGCTTAGAGCAGTCCCTGAAGTGAAGTAAGAATACCCTGAATTTTAAGGAGACTACAAAAATATTAAGATGACAGCAACTTTTTTTTTAGTTTACTCTTGAAAGTAATAAAATTTGAAGGATCTTACGAAGTAATTTCTTGCATGTTCCATTAAATTCTGCTGTTCCATTTATTTTTTTATGAAATACTCATTTGATTTCTGTGTATGTTTGTGTCTGAAGCTTTAAAAATGAAATTATCTATCCATCCATTTCTGTTATGCAGAATAATGCATGCATGATTGTACCATAAAATTTTAATAGACTAAATAATTCACGTTGCATGTCTGTACCACACTATTATGGTGTTTCTGTAGGAAATTTGTGGTTTGCATGAGGAAATGTTACTTAACTTCTGAAGTATTTGTAGCACTTATTAAGCAAATGTCAGAACAATACATAATCACTGTAAGAATTAGTGAAATTCTAACAGTAGAGTGATATGCTATTGTTATTGAATTGTAAAAATAACGTAAAACACACAGTCGCAAGATTGACAGACAAAACATCATAAACCATGTGTGCTAGTTTGAAACTAGCCTAATCTGCACACAAGTACGGTACTATACACACAAATATTATCATTTACAGATACAGATTAAGAGAGCAATTACTTTGCTGCTGAAAGGTATGCATGAACCAGTCAATCTTAGCCATTAAAGCTCCATAAAACCAGAAAATGTATTCTTCCCAAGAAAACAGAGAACTTAGGGAGAAAAAGGGGGACAGAAATGAAAAGAAGAAGAGAGGACAGCAGTAATAGGTACAGACTTTATGATTCACATGATAACCGTGCAGCTTCTGGTTAGAATTGATCCAAGCCCATCTCTCACAGCCTGCAAAAAGCCAAAGAAATTAGCCCTGTCCTGGTGGGAGCAGGGTCAGTATCAGCTGACTTGCCTTTCATCTCCTTTGGGCCTACTGCTTGACCTCAAAAGTCAAGTTTCATCTGTCAACAAATCACCCCTGATCTGTATATAAGAATTAAAGAAAAAAAGCGCCTGGTTCAAATCCAAACACATCTTTCAAAGCCATAAAATATAACAGGGCACTTACAAGTAATTCTATGCCTTTGTTCTGGGAATGTCAGATGGATTGTGCTTTGCTCTCTTGTAGCATCGGCAGCTTTGTTTACAAAATGAGGATTCCCTTCAAGGGACTCATTGCAAGTTAGAGTACCACCTGCAGAGAGCTTTTTTAAAAATGTTTTATGTTCTTGCTCTCCCTTTTTAACTAAATTCCTTTCCTTCTTCTTTAAGGCAATGCTCTGGTAGAAATCTGATTCCTGCCAATAGTCCAAAAATATTCTGTAGGAAGTGCTTGTAAAAGCAGAGGCAACCAACTTGGTGGTTTTGCAATACTGGGATGTTTTTGTTTGGTTGTGTGTGTTTTTTTTTTTTTTTTAAAGATTAGAATAATCTTACACTTGTCTTTGAACAGAATGCTTATATTGATTTATATGTGACATTATGGATAACTGTGCTGCACCTCAAAACCCTGTATAGGTTGGATACTTACTCATTGGATTTAATCATATCTTATAGGTTCCACTTCGTGTTGAGAATCATAGGGAAATACAATGACCAAGTTTGTGCTACGGAATTTTCCAAAAACACATCCCACAAATATGGAATGGCACGAGTACCACAGAAAGCACAAGAATTGACATACTTTTGCAACTTAACATTAATTTCCTTAGCATGCTATTGAGCAAGGATTATAGGGCTAAACTGAGGAGTATGATTTATACCTATTATTTCAGGTGATGTTTTAGTTGTAAGCTGTGCAGTAGGTAATTTGGTCAGTACATTTCTGAGCTGCTGTGTAACAGGAATATTCTACGATAGTTGGAACATTTAGCACCTTTGCATTGGTGACACTCATGTTCTTGCCCAATTATGTATTTTCATCATAGAAAGTCCAGTGTGGCAAAGAAAAGCAAAAAAAAGACAGGCTTCGTGTCCTGGGTTAAAACTAGGGTAGAGATGCACGGAGGAAAAAAAGTCTGGGCTGAAGCTCAGAGTTCTTTTATGCTAAAGTGAAGAAAAGACTGGTTAGAGGCAGGAAGGTGGGTGTTTTGCCTCTTCATGAAATGATAGAAGCAAGGCTGGTAAATAAGTGAATTATATACTAAAATAAACAGAAAGGAAAGAAAGGTGTCAGGGAGGAATATTAAAGAGTGGTAGCCTGTAGAAGGGAACTGTGAAATTCTGGGTTTACCCTTAGGAGAAGAGGCGCAATCTGGAGAGCAATAGGGAACAACATGCTCTTTGCATAGGGTGCTTAGTATCTTAAGGGTGAGAGTTGGGTTGTATCATTTTCCTTTTTTCTAAAGTGAATTTACCTTTACCAACATATGGAATTATTTTTGTTCTTTGCAAAAGAACACTTAGCCTTCATTTTGGAAAGAGAAAACATTGTCTAATTTCTTAATAGAGTTAATGGAAAATTGAAGTAGTTTGCAGCTGGAAATTGGTACACAGTCTCTCACATAATTGGCCCTGAGTCTGAGTAATAATTTACTTCAAAAATTACAAAGCTCACTGAAAGTAAATTTCTTGACATAATTAGCACCTGGTATAAAATAAATCAAAGTTTATTATTAAAGCATGAAGATTTATGAGGATGAAAAGGAATCATTGTGTTGCTAGCATCTCGCCCAAACAGTAAAATCAAGATACTCTTTGGATGTTACCTTGAAACGAGCTCTGTGTTAGGGGAGTCCTGTATCTGCATAGAATTCAGGACTGGAACATGTATTACTATCCTAAATAGAGAATTTGAAGAGCAAGGCCCATAAGTTCAGTAGGCTTCTCGTGCCATTCCCTTGGCTTATTTTGGTAACCAAATATTCGGAATAAAAATCTCACAGTAGGATAAATAACACTTAAAATCTACTATCTTTTTTATTATTATCCTCATGCTTAAATGATATGTTACATGCAACCCCCCTAAGTTTCTTCCCTAGTAATTTCAATTTTTTAATTGTTGTATTTATACTAAACCCAGACTTGTTCTTTATTTATACAGAAAATTTTAACCATTGCAAAGAAGATAAACCTTCTAGTACCTGTAGTTTATATTAATTCTTTCCAAAACACGCATGTTTCATTTTGATCTGCATTTCCTTCATTGCTTGCTTGCATTGTCTATTCCCTGAAATGAAGAAGATAAATAAGTCCATGTCTTCTGTGTGTAATAAGATAGTTGGCGGACCTTCAGTTCTAAATATCCTGAATTTATGTAAAGTTCCCGTATGTTAAGAGGATGTTATCTGAATTTTCTATGTTTAATGTGCACTGCCTTAAACTACTTGTTTTTTCCTTGCCTGCTCTTTCAAGATGCCAATTAGGAATAATGGGAAGCAAGGGGTAGGCTAAGCATTGCAGTGCATTGTTGTTTCCATCTGTCTGTGATTATTCCAGCCAACAGTTTAAAGCACTTGATGCCAGATCATGCCCCCATTGAAGTTAATCGGGTTTTTGCCATTAGGTTTGATGGGAGTAAGATTGGGCTCTGCACTGTCGTTGTTTTATTCATTGCGTTCGTTCTTGTCTGTGAAACTGCCACCCATCCATGCATGTGTTTGCCAGGTTTGTGCCGTTTTCACCAATGGGCTTGTTCTTCTGATGTTTCAGGTTAAGTATTAATAAGAGAAAAAGGATTATTGGGTAAAACGTCTGCTGAAAGCCACTTTTTAGTTCATTAGTTTGTCTTTTAGAAATCAGCACTGCGTAACAACAATTTCTTCCTTGTAAATTCTTTGTATCAAACTGCATTTGAAACAACTGGTGATATAGGTTACAATTTGTGTATATGTATCTGTGTGCGTGTGTATATATATATACATGGACAAAGCGTGTGTGTGTATATATATGGGGAAAGAGAGAGAATATGATTTATTAAGAAATTGCCTATATATTTGAGACACTTTAAAAGCTTAATGTGAATTTAATTGCAAGGTGATTTTTTAATTTTAAAAACTCCCTTGAAATATGGTCACTTTAATATGTAAAAAACCTTAATAAATCCCCTCCCCCTTCAGGATGATAGCAGTTGACTATAATTTTAGACTATGAAGGTATTTTTATTCCTTTTTGCAATATTTCTGTAGGAAATATTGTCATCAGACAGAAATACCCATAATCCTTTTTAATGAAAATCTGAACTCCGAGACTGAAGAAGTAAAGCTCTTAAAGCTATATAAATTATTGTCATTCTTATTTTTTTTAAAATATTGATTCTAAAGGCTCATGAGGCTGAAGAGGAGGTACGGATGAATCCAGAATTTGCAGACAGAATGAAACAGCTTGACAAAGAGGCATCGTACTATAGAGAAGAATGTGGCAAAGCTCAGGCTGAGGTTGACAGACTTCTAGAAATACTCAAGGAAGTAGAGAATGAGAAGAATGACAAAGATAAGAAAATTGCTGAGTTAGAAAGGTAATTCTTGTATTATTTGTCTTACACTGAGTGGCATTTTTATTTACTTGATCTTCATTGCAGAGCAGAGAAGTTAAGAGTAGAATATGTTTTTTAACAGAATATTTGTTATGTCTTGTAAAATTGAATCAAAAATGAAAAAAAAAAAAAGTGGCTACCTGAGGACTGCATCTCCTGTCTGCTGACTTTGGAACAATTTAAGGTTTCCACTTTTTCAGTAGTCTCCATATAAGGAATACATATAGGAAAAGCTGTATGCAATTTACAGTGACAACAACCCTCCCAGAAAACCTTGTTGGGGAACAATGTAACTGGTAAATCAAACTTGTCCCCATACATGCTTCAGAGGTCTTGAAAAGTATTGGTAAGTATTTCTAACCAGTCTCATGACTATTTAATAATAGTTGTGACTATTTCTCAGTGTTTCTGGAGTCTCTGTCTGCTTCAAATGAATATTTTCTGACATTGTTTTATTATTTCTGGGAAGTTTGTACAGTCTTTCCTTATTGGAGACAGGAGGTTTTGGGGATCCATTTGTCTCATGCCCTTTGTAATTAAATGATTCTTGGAACCTTCTCCCTTATGGTATGCTGCAATCTATTTGACTGATAAGCCATTTATGTGGATCTGATTTCTTTATTCCCTTCCTGTACTTAGCCACTCAGCTAAATGAAAGAAGGAAATTCATGTTTTCAAATATTTTATGTAATTGCTTTCTAGTGATCAAGTCAGAAGAAAAGTGCTTCACGGTTCCAAAAGAGAAGTTTAAGGGATCTCGTTATTGTGATTATTGCTATAGTTCCAGTCAAGACATAGCACTGCTCTGTCCCATTGGGAAGATCTGCCAGAAATGCTGGTTACCTTAGGGGGAGAAAAACAGCCAGCTTGGAACTGAAGATGTGCAGTGCATCTTCTACTGATGATAACTTATCAACCTTCACAGTTATCTGTTGCCAGAACTTACCTTTTTCTGCAGACATTTGGCAAAGGTTTAATAATTATACTAATGAATGGTATATAGTTATCAAAGTGTCATGAGAACTGAGACCTCAAATTTAAAGTGAAAAAAGATTTGTACTTGAAATAGAACTGAGCGTTTACATGAGGACAACCACATCAGGAGGAGTTTAGAATACTCTAGTGTTTGCACTGATTTTAATGTGTAAAGTAGATACCAGAGAAAGCTAGTAATGAAGAGTGGTCACTTTGTGCACCATGACTGTGATTTCTGCCTGAACTCTCCAAGATCCTAAAGCAGCATATTGGAAAAAGATAACGCAGTTAGTGAATTTGTGTGGTCAGGAAAGTACCGCCTATTCAACCCACTGGTGCATGTACTGTAGGGGCAATGACAGACCTAGGCGTGAAATACAGTGACTCCAGGTGTGACCAAGCTGGTGGAAACTGACTGTGTAGTTCTTAGAGAAACAGTAATGGATATCCTCATTGGGCTATGAAACCTACTGAATTATTGTGTGACGCTAGACGCAATAGTAGGCATGCTAAACTTTTGTTCAAGAAGATAATCTGAAGAGATTTATTATATAGCAATTACGTACGTGTTGAATGGTTGAATATTAAAATGACAATTAAGATTAAAAGATGAACACGACGAAGTAGTGAAGCTTGTGATCTAAAATTTTTAGTAAATGTTAATTTGGTTTAAATATTTTATATAAAAAAGAACTAAAGAATCAATATAGATCAGTAGATGTATTTGAATTGAATTGAGAATTATTGATTACAAGACAATGATTACAAAGCAACAAGGAACCAAGGGATGCAGAGATATTACTATGGCCTTGCCAGCATACAACCTCTTCTTATTGTCTGAGAACCCTGTAGTGGGTTATTTAATGGACAGAATTTTCTATTTCTGTATTAATTTTTTTTTTTAAATTTCACTTTTATCAGTGAAATTTTCGGACACCAATTTCCAGTCTGTGTTGTTGATCCTGAAATAACTTTTCAAAAAATAATTTGGTACCACTGAGTAAGCACAGACCTTTTGAACAGGATATACTGTACTTTGAACGTGATGAAGTAGTTAAGCTTTGCTATGAACCTTTAAGTGCTTCTGTAATGCTTACAATAACGTATCTGTGGCATGACCAGCTAAGAACAGTAGTATGTTGCAATTTTTGGAAATCATCATGCTCTAAGATTTGTTTGTGAACTCTATTAACTGCGATGCAGCTTCTCACTTGATTTAACTTATGTACAGCTTTCAAGATTAATTCCAAATTCCTATACACATCGTATATATAAGTTAATTACTGTAAACTAGGAAAAAAAAAAGGATTTATGTGAAAATTATCTGTAATTGATTTCATCAACAGAAGTTACTGCCTTCATTTGGTAATGGATTCTTAGGCACAGATTTGTTGATTAGTATGGTAAGGCTAGCAATCTGCCAGCCACATAAAGGTGTAATGGGGAAATATTTTTAGGGAGTGGGTATCTAACCCTTCTTACTCATCAGGCTCACCTTAGGCTTCTCTAAAATTTAATGTATTTTCTCTCCTTCTTCCTTATTTTTGAAAAACGTTGGCCTAAAGATCTAAATCTGTATATAACTGTGCCACCTGTTGGTGTCCCTAGAGAGGGAACTTTGATGTTGAAATTCCCCTTTCTAGGGGGTGAGGTAGAGTGTAAATTGCTGTAACATTTTATGAAGTGCTACTACTTTTTCAGCTTGTAATGACTACTTGATTGGCTCATTATTGAAGGCAAGAGGTGGAGCCAAAGCTCAGTTTACCCACTTTATGGGAATAAAGCATTGTGAAAATGACTGCAACTTTAACAGAAGCATATTTGAAAATGTTCTTTCCTTCTTGTCCTGCTGTTTTGTAATTCATAGAATGTGCTCTAGGTTGCTGTTTTCTCACCTTACTTTTTCTCCTTTTTTTTCTTGCTCAGAAACAACACATCTTCAACATTTCCCCTAACTTCAGATGCAAGGGCATCTCTGGGGTTTTGTAGGAAAATTAATGCTCTTTTGAAATGTGTTTTTTGGTTAATAGCTTGCTGGCATCCATGTTCACTGCTATGCCAACATCTTTACATTGCAAGATAATTGTAACAACATAAGTTCTCAAAATTTATAAACATAAATTTCGGACAGAGTTATAATCTACAGCATTGCAAGCTATGGTATCTTCACAATATTTATTACATTGACATATGAGTTCAGCAGCGTAATGAGGTGTACTTGTATAAATCAGTTTCAAAAGTAAAAACGTTTGTAATAAAATTATCCGTTACAAATTCAAACAAGAACTAAAACAAGATGATGAATACTAATGTTCTACTATTCTTCAGAAATTACTGACACAGAAAGTATCAAATACTCAAGGGTAGAAATATCTGCTTCAAGATATGGGCAATTAAATTTCTAAGTGTTTGCTATTTGGCAGATGAACATTATTAATAATCCTGAAAACGATTTCATATGAATGGTAATTCTTCTGGTTTTAATGTGATTTTCTTGCCTCAGAAACTATCACACTTCTGAGTTGCATCACTTAAGATTCATGATTCATGCTATTCCTCATACATAAAAACATGTTGGTCTGTTTCTTAAATTATTCCACATATATTAATTTTGTATTTTATAACTTATTACTACATAGCAGAACCAATTCCTCATCCTATACTAAAGCTGTTTGATAACTTCTATTACATCTTCCGTGATTTATCCGTTTATAATGAGAACAGGTTAAAATTAAATGCAATATATCCCAGCATAATGTACTTTTTGTAAACGTAGCTTGATGTTTTTCTTTGGTTTTCTTGGTGAAGGAAATTTGGTGTGTTTTTTTTGGTTTGGGTGGTTGGTTTTTGTTTTTTTTTCCAATACTGTAAGTGAAACTGGGTAAGATAGTGACCAGCTTAAATTTTAATGTGAAGGGCCTAGCCAAAGAGAGGTTAACTGCAGCTGAAATGGAACTGTCAGGATGGAAGGAGTATATTGTTTAATGCTTTTATTAATGGTGTTAGCATGAAAAGTGTATTTATGAAACATGCTAGGGAAATTAAGTGAAATACAATAGTACAAAATGCATGATTGTGAAGTTAGGACCAGTAAGACTGCCTGCTGTAAGCAAAGGATAATCCTTGATATAGTTTAGGAAGAGAAAGATCAGGTGAATTTACTTATGGCCGTGCCATTATAAGCCATCTAAATAATGAAGCAGACATCTAAATAATGAGGTGTGAATCCTGATATGTCAAATAAATGTCTGCAGTAAGGACAGGAAGGTGTTAATGTCATCAAATGCTAGCAAGACTCCATGTGGAACACTGCTATATACTTCTCATCAGTCATATTCAAGGAGGTTGAATTAAAACTGGAAAGAGGTGCAGAGAGGACTGGTAGGATAATTAAAGGAAGGGAGTTCTCATGCCACAGGAGGAGTCCAAACAACAGTGGGTTGTTTCTCTGGCAAAACAAAGGCTCGGTAGGGATGCTTGTTCTCTATAATATGTGAAGGGGTAAGCACTGTGGTGAAAGAAGAGTGATTTCAGTAGAAGAGTGTTGGCACATAATACAATGAATATGAATTATCCATTAATAAATTTAGACTGAAAAAACGTGATGAGAACGTAGTGTAGATTGCAGAATCTTGGATCTGCCTTTCTCCAGTGGTATGTCACATGGTTGGTCATTTGCTTGATTGAGCGCAGCTTCTCAGCAAAGCTTACAACCATATCAAAGTTCATTTAAAAATACTATACTAGCTATGATATAAACCCAGTTTGTTTTTAAACAGTAAGTTTGGGGTTTTTATTATCCACTTCTTATATGCAGTGATAAGTTTTGGGTAATAACACGATAGATGCATGTTTAAGCTCTTGGGGTGTTTAGACTACAATTAAGTCGTTCTGAATTGATTTGGATTTGAATTCTGATGAAAACAAGTCCACACAGCACTGACAAGTCATTGCATAAATGACAAAACATCAGCATATGGAATAATGGTGTTCAAAAAAAGTATTTTTGTGGCTTTAAAAAACTGCCCTTTCATAAGTGAATGAAAAACTGCACCAGTTACAGCTTTAAGGATTAGTCTAGCTGGGTGTCAGGCAGGGACTATTTTGTCTCAATTGAAAGGGCATGTTAGGTATTTTTAACAAATAAGTTAACAAGCATCAGAGTATTTTCAGTGATGAAGTATCAACCTTATTCTTCAGACTGAAGAAAAAAATTGCTGTCAGTGTTAGAAGGGGCTCTATTTCCTGGGGGCGGCCAATCTGTCTTTGATTATTAGGTACAGTGCTTTGTGAACTTCTAAATGATATCTTTGAACAAGCTGCCAAATTTTTTAGCTGTTTTGGCTTTCATGGGTAGACTTGATGAACATGGGTCACCAACCTATGTCGGTTCAAAAAAAGACTCTGTGGTATATGATGAGACATTTGTGTGGCAGTGAACACTACCAATATCCACCTAATCTATTTGTTCCATTTCCGTGTGTGTGTGCATTTCGGTGGTTATAAATATGGATGGCTTTCCACAGTCCACAAATGAGAAGATGACATTTTACTTTAAAATTTGTTTTATTCAGCGCACAGCAAGGATATACTGCTGCAGAAATTTTATTTTACTTCTCGCTTTCCCTTCCCTTTTCTTTTTTTTTTTGAATAAAATCTGCTGATATAACATCTGCTTGTTATATTTTTAAAGAACTAATGTGTTCCTCCCTTTATTCTCTTTTGTTGTCTTCCTCCCTATCTGTTTTTCTCCAAACTGCTGCTTTCATCCCTACTACAACCAGCTTGACTTCCAGGTCAGTATTTTCTGCTCTCCTACTTAATTGCTCCTTCTGCAATGAATGTTTTCATTGATGCTTCATTTAGTTGGCCATTTTGATTCCATATTAATTAATTAATTAATTAACTTATGTTTGTCTTTTTTTTGTTTTTGTTTTTATTCTGCTTGTCCCTATTGTGAAGTTTTTGGTTATTCCATTTCTAGATCAGAAACTTTACAGTAAATGAATGCTTTTGTCAGAAGTCTGTAAGAAAAAAATTTCTCTTAACAACATATTCAATTCATATGTTGTTTCGTGTTAAGATTTTTTTCTTCTTTCATTTTTACTTTTATTATCTTTGTTTAGGGAGTTCAACACCAGGATTGAACAATAGCAATAGTGTACAGAGAGGTTTACACCTAAGATCAGAGACTTGGTCTTAATACTTTACCATCACCCCTTTTACTGTTATTGCAAACGTAATAGGATGAGTTGGAGTGGTTCAGCTTCTGGTTCAATTCTGGACCAGCAGATACCTGCAAGGGAGGTGTATGTACGTGTATGTTTTATATCCTCTGTTTGCATATAGCACCATCTAGTCAGATTCATGTTTTTCTTTCTTCCAGATTTTAGATCAGTTTATCTAGCGTTTGTGCTTGTGCACTGTTTTTGAGTAATCCTATCATCTTATCAAGTATTATTACAGGTCTTGTGGTGCTTGTTGAAGGTAAAAATTGATCTAGCCAACATTTTTTTCTCTTAGTAGGCCTGGATGTTAATTCTTCTTTCTCATGCTTATGAATAGCTGTAAAATTTAAGTTAGCTAAGTCTTAAAACATGCACTTGGTATTTTAGAAACTAGTAACTTTATATGGTTTGGACTACAGGTTCATCTGCTTCTTCCCTTCCCCATTCATTTCAGAGTGCGGCTTTTTTTTTTTTTCCTTTTCCTGTGACAGGTATTTAAGACACTTCTGTAGTACTCTTAAGCTCATCCCTTATTTTTCAGGTTCTGAAATAGGTGATTGAAAACTTGCGCAAAGGTTTGTTTCCTGTACTGAAGGAGCTTTTTAGGCAGGAACAGACCTGGTTTTCAATCATTATTAAGGCAGAAAGTGTTTACTTCTTCACAGATCAATCGGACTGGAGTATAAAGGAGGGTGTACACTGCAAAGACTTTCCAGGTGGATTTCAGCTACCAAAGTTTTGCATTTGCAGATGTGGTTCCAGGTATCAGGTTGCCATGCAGCACATTTGACTAGAAACGTGGCAAATATCCAATCTGCCTTCATAATGTGTTCAAATCTGAAGTTTTCAGAATTTTTATGTCAATGTATACTTTCTGCACAGCATTGTTCTCTATGCATAGAGAAGCAGAGCTTGCCAGTTTGGGACAGTTTTGGTATCTTAGTCTCAAAACCAAGCACAGTTCACATTTCACGGTTCAGACGTGTCAGAGAAGTTTCTGACGTGGATGCCTTCGAACTGCATGGCAGAAGATGGCTCATTGTGAAAAGACTGACGAGTGTTCTTTTTCCTCATGTGCTTTAATGCACATCACAATTACAAGTTACTTTCCAGCTGGAAAACTTTGTTTCTGGAATTTGAGGCCGATTGCTTGCAGTAATGAATCAGATAAACACTTCATTGTCTATCTACTACAAGCACATTCTAATGTGCTTGAATGGATAGGTATTGCACCTGAATTATAAAAATACTTAAACCATTTATTTTCAGACTCTTTCTTCCAGAAATTAATTAATTTAATTAAACTCTGGAGATGGCTGTGATGAAATTATTGTCTGAATGTGACCACTCTGGCATTTCTATTAGAACGTACTCAACATTGATTGAAAATCTCTCTAGCCAGAGCGAGCTTAAAGAAAGGTATTCTGCTATGCGGTTGTCATTATGGTTGATTTCACTGGAATTCAGTGATTGGTATGCAGAAACATTTGTTCAGCAGTTGGAGGTGCAATTTCTGTTATGTTTTATTGACCTAAAAAACCAGCTGACCTTCCTGAAGCAAACTGTCCTCATAACCCTGCCAACTTCCATCCCTAGAGGCCTAGATAAGTTGTAGCATATGATTAGAGTTTATTGTGGGATTTCAGTGAAGCATTAAGTTTTCGCAGCTTGAATCATCATTAAGGTTAAAACTTAATTTAAGAAACAGATCTATTAATTTCTTTAATTTCGGCTAATCAATATGTCCTTAGCTGTCGCTTTTTCATCTGTATTTATATGGAGTTAGAATGATTAGAACCTGTTTTAGAACACGGCAGGCTATTGATACTGATGGCAAACAAGAAAATCAAATCCATTGGCATAACCCCCACCATGTGCACCTACCTATACAGTAAAAAATGTTCTGAGCACAAGAATCAGTACAGTAACTTTTTTTTTTCATTTAGGTTCCAGCAGGTTATATAGTCCCCAGACTTTTCTGCATGCAGATAAAAAGGAGATGGATATTTTTTGCATGTACAATATACTGACCAGTGCTAGAAATTTTCCCACCAGCCTCTGACGTTGGCCTTCCTAATTGTTTCCGTGGGAGGCTAGAGCTCAATGAGATGTGTAAGGCAAGGTTTAACAGAGTTTTAAATTTAACTTACGAGCCTTCCACAGTTTTGTCAAATGTCAGTTTGATGGTTCCAAGGGCAGAGTGATATGTTGTTCAAAGATAATTTCCCTGGAGAAATTGAGATAGTGTACTAATGAAAACTGAGAGAATCTGTGATATACATTACTCTTCTGAGAGATTGGTTATTCTGAGTGAGAAACATAGTCATCACATTGGATAACAAGCAGATTGTTGTCATGTCTTTCTGTTTTAGTCTGTTTGCTATATATACAGAATCAACATTTTAACACTGTGAACATTTTAACATTTAAACATTTTGAAAGAGATGAAGATTTCAGAAGAGATTATTTAGATTTCTCTGATTACATGTGTGGTGTTGAATTTGTGTACATTTAAATTTCATTTTATTTAAGAAATAGTAAAGTAGAAAGTTTATCTCCTTGGAATTCTGCTTTCTTTAGAAAAAAATAATATATTACAAAATAAGCAGAGATCATAAACATTGAAAAGATACAAACGAGTCCCTGGGACAGGTTAATGTGGTGTTGTTAATTTTTATCCCACTCACTCCTGAACCTGACTGCTCAGTTCTATACTTTGCCCTTTAAGTTTGCTTAAAGGCATGCAGAGATTAAAATAATGTTTCTGAGACAACTAGAAATGGATTATTTAAATAAAGCAGGATATTTTGTAGTTTCTTGCTGATGTGGGATTTTTTTGGTTTTGATTTGGAGTACAAATACTCTGTGGAAGTAAATGGATATGCAGCATAAACTGGCTATGAGGAGAAAAGAGCTCTGTATCTCTGAAGGAAAAATATCCACTTTGGACTGGGTTGGACTTGACACCACAATTCTGTGTTGGGGAACAGAGAAGATAAGGAACTGTTACCCTTTCCATTTCATGGTTACTAATTTCAAGAAAGAGCAGTATTTCTTATGCTTCTGTAGACCTGCTGCTTTCGCTAGTTTCCCCCAGGGGAAGATCCACAGAGCTTATTTCTTTACCTCTTGAATGTGTGAATAAAATAGCACTCCTCTGGGGAGCTTGGTGACTGTCTGGGTACAACTCTGTCAGGGTTCCCTGTGTACAGTGGAGGGGTGTGTGTGTGAAGAACCACTGTGAGATAGCACAGCTGACCCTGAAAAAGCTGTGACTGAAGAGAGACAGGGGAACTAAATTTAGGCATTGGGCTGTTGGTGGAACTACTTCTTCCACTTGCATTGTTTGCTTCCATAATGCAGGAGCAATATGCCTGGATGACGTAATTGTGGCTGGATTGAAATGCTCTGATCTGAATTTATAATAAGGGGAAGTTAGGATGTCAACACAAGAAATCATACAAAGTGTACCTGATTTATTTGGAGGTCTGAAGAGGTTACTGCAAAAGCATGGAAAGTTCAATTTACGTATTGAATGATAATGGCTGGATTGATCCTGAGAACTGCTAGGTTGAGCCAGGAGTTACAGCTGAAAGATTTGGTTCAGAAGGAAACTGCAGTGAAACATGAAGTGCAGCAGAGGAGGTTTGATCCTGAGTGCTGTCAGGCTGAGCTGGACATGCTGTGGGTGCAGAGAGTAACTGGACAGAGTCAGGAGTTGGTGGGTTTTTTTGTTGTTTGTTTGGGGTTTGGTTTGGTTTTGTTTTTAAAGGAAAAAAAAAAAAAAGAGGAAAACCTTAGATGGACAACAGCTGGAAAGGACCTGATGAAGCAGAAGCAGGACTGCAACTCCTTGGTTGCAAATACCAGGCAACAAATTATTTCCAGTTACTGGTTACAGTTATTGCTAATGGCATTAATTAACAAAATAGCTCAGCAAGCAATTGCCATATTAAATCAGATCAAATATCCTTCTCATCTAGTGTCCTGTCATCAGCACGGTTTTTTTGGGCTTTTTTTGTTGTGTTTTTTTTTTTTTTTTTTTTTTTTTTTTTTTTTTTTTTTCTTTTTTAAGAAGAACATCAGAAGAAAATGCAGAAGAATCCTTGGTGTACAAGAGAGATGTGTGACAGATGAGTCTTCTGGTATGGATTTCACACATGTTCATATAAAGTGTCATCCAGTAAGAATGTGCTAAGAAAGACAGTAGTGCAATGCATGGTATTGGAGTTTCAGTGGTTGCAGCGCAGATACGTGTTGAAACAAAGTGATATGAACCATAGTTTGGAACAGGATTTTAGTAGGTCTTTTTCATTCATACATTATCCTCACGTGGATATTTCTAGCATCTCTCTAGGGCTCTGGAGGGAACTGTGTCAGACTAAACACATCTTAAACAACGATTTTGGAAAACTTCCCAGATTGTGTGTTAGGTCAACCCTTCCTCCCACGTTTTTCTCTTTGAGGTGAGAAATGTTTCAGTGACTTCTGCAACACTCGCTTTATTTCTACCAGGCAGAGTTGTTGGTTCTCTCAAGGCAACAGTATCTTTTTTGTGGTGCATTTGG